TACCTCCCAGGTTTGTTATGAGAATCAACTAAGATATTCGTAAAGCATTTAGGCACAGTGCCTAGAACATAGTAAGCACTACATTAATGATAGCTACTAATATTCTTATTATTCACAATATTATCTAGAATTATAAATAATAAAACAAGCATAAAGTTTTTCTCATGATACAATATATATTTATACTTATATTAAATGGTTATATAATGGATTTCTTCAGAAGCATTTCTCCTACTTAAACCATAGTGTATGTGTATGTATCTGTATGTATGTGTATGAGCTGTATCTTTCAACATGTAGGATTTTCTCCCAAATTCTCCAGATTTTTATGTTTTTCTCAATATGCCAGAAATGTGATCTATAAAACTGGCTCATTACCCAGCTTGGGATTAATTCTTCAAGATACCCATTTTCTCATTATGTATAAGGAATATCCATAAACCTCTTCCTTCTGGTAAAAGTTTGGTTTTTCAGAATCATACCTATAAAATCAAAGGTCTCCTCATCATAATTCAGTTGTATATACAATGAGGAGAACTTTGATTCCGTAGGTGTAGTTCTGAAAACCAACATATGACTAATCTAAAATATGTCTAGCCTCACTCACCTCTAATCTTGCTGCTGAGGAGTAGAGTAGAAGCCTTCTGTAGCCCCTCTTCATGGCTTATCCTAAAATCCTTGGTCACACAGTCCTCAGGAGGAAGCTGTAATTCAATACTTGCTATACATTGTCACATTACTACTAGTTCTCATGGTACTCATTATTGACCAAATACAGTAAAAACTTAATAGGTTAGGTAAATGGGAAGATCTATTATTCAAATTCAGTTAACTAAGATTAAACAGGTGGTATCCATGATTTCTTAATCACCAAATCTAATGGCCTTTCTCAACAGCCATCCTTTTTGACCTGTTCACTGCCTTCTGGCACTGCCAACCACTCTCTTCTCCTTAATATACTCGTGTCTAGAGAAAAGAGAGTATTTCCATGGTATTATTTTATTCTGGTTTTCCTGACCTCTGCTCAGTCTCTATTGCTCTTTGTCCAGGTCACACCTGATTAACAGGAGATTATCCCAGCCCTCTGTCCTGGGTCCTCCTATTTTCTACCTTTATACTATTTCACTTAGTGATATTATCAGCTACCATGGATTCAATGACCCTCAGCTCCACTTATCCTCTCTTCTAACCTCTAGACTCCCATCTACAATTTCCCATTGGACATCTCAAACAGGCTGAAAGACATCTTTAACATTTCCAAAATTGAATTCATTATCTTTCCCTTCTCAACTTTCCCATCACTCTCAAGGGCACCAGCATCCTCCCAGTCACCAGGTACACAACTCTCTTAGACGTTATCCTCACTTTCTTTCATCACCTATATCCAATTTATCGCCAACTCCAGTTGATTTTTATAACATGTCTCACACATGTCTTCTTTTCTTCTCCAACACTGCTACCACCTTGGTTCAGGCCCCCAAAATTTCGCACTTGGAATACTGCAATAGTCTTCTGGTTGGTCTCCCTTCCTCTAGTCCATCCTCCACTCAACTGTCCAAGTGATCTTCCTAATGCAAAGACCTGACCATGTCACCTCTCTCCCTCATTTAATAAACTCTAAATGCTCTCTATCACCTCTGTGATCAAAGATAAAATCCTCTGTTTTGTGTTCAAAGTCCTTCACAACCTGGCCACCTCCTACTTCTCCGGTCTTCTTACATCTTAACCAATCCCATGCACTCTATGATCCAGTGACACTGCCCTCTTACTGTCCCTTATACAAGAAACTGTACATTTTCACTGTCTGTCTCCCACGCCTGGACAGAGAGAACTGTCTTCCCTTCTCATCTCTGCCTCCTGGATTCCCTCGGTTTCATTCAAATCTAAGCTAAAATTTCATCCTCTGCAAGAAGCCTTTCTCAATCTCCCTTAATGTTATTGCCTTCCCTCTGATACTGCCTCTAATTTATCCTGTATATAGTTTACTTGTACATACTTGTTTTTGTCTCCCCTTTCAGATAGTGAGCTCCCTAAGAGCAGAGAATGTCTTGCTTCTCTTTGTACACCTAGTACTTTGTACAGTCCTTTACACACAGTAGTAGCTTAATAAAAACATACTGACTGTTTTTTTACCTGGCAAGTTGAGGGACGAAAGGATAAAAGAGGGTTAGGAATGGTGGAGAAGAAAGGCTGAAGGGGAATAATAAATGCTACTTCTAAAAAATCACTTTACCAAAAGATAAACTAACACTACTTTTCCTAAAGAATCATAACATATTAGAGCTAGAAGAGGCATTAGAAATAATCTTGTCCAACTCCATTTTACAAATGAGAAAACTGAAGTTGAGACAAATGAAGTAACCTGCATTAGTTAGGAGTCAAAGCTCAGACTATATTCCAGACTCAGTGATCTTCCTACAACAATTCTGCTCATGTTAATACTCATTATTTAGTTTGTAGCTATTGTGGTGGGAATGAACCAAAGGGAAGCTTGTGTAGATTCTGAAATTCTATCAACCGAGGATGAGCTCTACTCAGTTACATACCCATCTAGTGGGTTTCCTTTTATACAGTTCAAATTTATCAGGCTTCAATAATTATGGCATGTAACACTATTTTAAAAACTGCTATATAATCTGGTTAGTTCAATGTTCGACATGTTGTTACATCTAAAATACAGGTAAACATAAACTGGTCTACAGTTATAGAATTTCTTATATAGGTTGTTTCAACTCAATTTAGATAAGATGGAAATGATTCTTGTACATATACCAGTCAAAATTTACAATTTTGCTTCTGGGAACGTCATCTTGCTTTTCCCTTAATCTTTCTCCCATATTATCATTCACATATTCCTTCTATCCTAATTTTTAAAGATTCATGCACAGAAAGCACTACACAAAGTTCATAGGAAGCCCACTCTCTATAACAATTCCTATTAATTAAAAAGCAAGAATTTCTCTCAGATAAAATATGGAAGAAACAGGAAAAGTGATGCTAAAAAGAATTAGGAGCAAATGAGTATTAAATAACCCTAGTTGTGTTACATACACTGGTTCACCTAAGGAAAAATGAAAATAACTAGTGTAAATGTTATACCTAAAAGTGAATATATAAATTAACCATTTTTTTAAAAAAAGTACTAATTATGCAAATTTAATCAAGTATTTTATTTGAAACATTCCAATGAAAAACAGATAAAAATGAAGAATACAGGAGAATCAACGAAGAATATATTGAGAACACACAATAAAGAGAACGACGTGAAGTATAGATGTTTGGAAAGCTAGAGAAGATAAAAGAGCAAAAGATCTTTACTCTGCCCAATTAAAAATAACAATAATTTATGGAAAATTAACATTATTTTAAAATGTTAACCATTTAGAGAAATTATTTTTTTTAAATCAAATATGGAATCAAATCAGTCTGGTGACTACTTCTCAGAAAATAACCAATTCAAATAAATTTATCCCTAGTCAACCATTTCTTAAAGGTATTGTATCCTTGTATTAAAATTAATAAAATGAGGATTATTTTTTATTTTCTTGGTGCAAATTATTTCCCTAAGTGAATGAACACAAATCCTAATTAATCTACATTTCAATGGAAAAAGTATACTCTAAAGATGATTTATTGATTACTATTAAGGAATGAAACAACTATGACTCTTATAAAAGAAAAGAATTAAAGGATTTTAGAAAATGGAAACATGTAGATGTGTAAGAAAATAAAATGATAGTTTCTTTATAACCTGTCTTATCAGTTATAGCTTTAATTTATATATATATGTATGTATCAGTTATAGTCACAATTTATATTTTCAGAAGATCAATCAACATGGTAGGCAAGTCTAAAATTAGAATCTATGGTATTAAATTTGTTGAGGTAAGATTTTCACAGACATTTATAAAATTTTTTGAATCCTTAAGGTATACTCTTTTAAATTATTGTAATTTGCACATGCAAATACTTAGCAATTTTAGAAATAATTTTCTAAATTTCTAAGTTACTTACTTAATATCACCTTTACATTATGTTACAAGTTTACATAAAAGATTAAATAATATAAATTATCTAATTAATTGTTAGAAATATACTAATGTCCCAAGTTGGCACCAATAATAATAATGCAATCCATTTACTCGCCATTGTGGTTAATAAAACCTGAAATTCTAAACTTGTTTGGCAGAATACTATAATATTAAATCAGAATTTCAAATCCATTACCTCAATGTTAGGTAATGGGGGAGGACATTATTCCAAAATTTTTTTGAATCTGATAACCCATTCACTAAATGTTGCTTTGACTGTGACTTCATTTTAGACCTCTGTATATTACTTTCTTTCATTTCTGACTTGGTATTAGAGTTTCTTTGGTATATTGTATCTTTGTCATATTTTACAGTTCCTTTTATTTGACTCACCTTTTTCTCTTTCTCACTTTCACCCTTTCCCTCCTCTTCATTGTCTTCTTTTTCACCCCCCCTTTCATCCTCTTCCTCTTCCCCTTCCCCCTCAGCTTCCTCTAACTCCTCTTCCTCTTCCCCTTCATATTCCCCCTCCTCTTTCTCTTCTTCTTCCTCCTCAGCTTCCTCTAACTCCTCCTCCTCTTCAGCTTCCTCTACTTCCTCCTCCTCGTCCTCTTTCTCCATCTCTTCATCCTCCTCTTCCCCCACCTCCTCCTCTTCTCCTTTCTCTGCCTCTTCATCCTCCTCTTCCCCTACTTCTTCCTCATTTTCCTTAGATTTATCTTCTACCCCTCTTTTACCCCAGTCCTCTTCCTCTCCCTGCCAACCCTCTTCCTCTTCGTCCTCGTCCAGTCTCCCTATCTCTCGCTTATCTATCTCCTCCTCCCCTTCTTCTTCCTCCTCCTTCCCCCACTCGAGTTCTTTATTGACTTCAGGGCTCTCTTCCTCAACTACTCTTTCATCTCTGCTCTCAGTAGTTTCCAGCTCATCTTCCTCTTCTATTCCCCACTGATCTCCTCCTACTTCACTCACCTCTGCATTTTCCTCTCCTTCACCTGTCTCTTGCTCTGCTTCTTCCTCTTCTGCTTCATTTAGAGCCATATCTTCCTCATCTAAGGAAACCAAAGCTTCTTCATGTTCCTCTTCCTCCTCTGCTTCTGCCTCTTCCTTCTCTTCCCCCCCTCCCTCCACCATCTTTTCTCCTTCCTGTGTCTCTATCACTTGACCATCTCCACCATCATCTTTGGCATTTACTTCTATTTTTTTCTCTTCAGACTGTTCCTCATTCTCTTGCTCATCACCTTCTAGATTACAGAGCTGGTCATCTATCTTTACAATATTTTCTTTTTCTTCATTATAACATTCCTTATTTGACTGAAATTGCTTAAAATTCTCAACTACATCCTCTTTACTATCATTTTCACCCTCCTTGTTATTTTCTGACTCTTCTACAGATTCTTTTTCGTTGTCAGAGTTTTTATCTTGTTTCTTATTTGTAAGTTCTTCAACAAAGCCTTCATTTTCTTCATCTTTAATTTTAATTTCACTTCTCTCACTATGTTCATTCTGGGGAAGTTCTTCTTTTTTGTCTTGCTCCTGTGGACCATCAGAGGATTTATTATCATTATTTTCTAAATTCTCTCCTCCCTTTCCTTCATCCTTCAGACTTTCTATTTCTAGTTGCTGACTTGTGTCTTGCTCTATTTCATTGTCAGAAGCTATTTCTATTGTTTCTAAATTCTTCAAAGTATTTACTTCATCACTTTCCTCCTCCACTACTTTGTGACAACAACTCTCACCAGTATTTATTAACTCATCTTTACTTTTAAGTGTCTCTTTCTTTGAAATTTCTTCAACAGGATTTGCTTTTGGTACAAACTGGGCTGGGTCACTATTTATATGTTCAGCTGAAAGTGACTTAGCTACTGTTGCTTGCTTCATAAGCATCTCCTCCTCCAAAGACTCATTCTGTGTCTGTCTCTCTTTGCTTGTTTCTGACATCTCTTCAACTTCACTAACATTTTTACATTCGGTCTCAGAATTGTTTTCAGTATAACATTCAAGTTTCTTCTGTTTCTTGGTTGTTTCAAGATTCTGTAAATTTGATGAATTAGTTACCATACAACTCTGGCTGATAAAAATAGCTTATCTACTTTAAGATTTTACTTAGGTTTTATATTTTTAGATTTTTGACTAGTAAAATAAAAATCTTAAATTTCAATAGACAGTTCTTTTCTCCATTTTCATAATGTGTGCTCTTTAAGTTTGTGGTAGATCTAATTTACCACATTTTAATACACTATGATACACCTGTGTCCCTATTTAACAATTTTTACATTCTTACTGTTTTGGTTTTCTCATTAATGATGTTTTTCTAAATCTGAATCTATTCTTTTACACTCTGAATCTACAGACTGTTTTTTAAAAGAACTAGAAAATCTAGAACACTACATATGAGATATATTTTAATCTTTTCATCTTCCTCATTTTTCAGTTTCATATTTTCATTTTTCTTCAATTCTATGGGAAGCACAAGATTTTAAAAAAAGAATGAATAAAATCATGAAAGGAGAAATACAATTTTTTAAAAAGAATAATGACTTGATGGAATGAAAATATCATAGGGCAAAGGAGGTTTCAAATGGAATAATTTTTTTCAAATTATAGCAGAAAAAAATGAATTATCTTTCAGAACATAATTTCCTACTCACTTAAAAAGTTTTATCTGGCCCTCTTTACCAGTTTTATTGTGGGGAATTTCTTTTTTGGACCAGATTTATGACTTCATCAGTTTACAGAATTCCCAGTATGGAAACTTCCTCCATAAATGAAACTCATCTGTAACATAATCTTTACATTATTCCTGAGTCACTGAGGGGTGACTTGCCCAACCATGGTCATGTAGCTATTATGTGTCAGACAAACAAATTAAACCCAGATATTTCTGATTCAAAAACTGTCTCTTAATCCCCTGTAAGATGCAGCTTCTTATGTTGTTCAATGGAAAAACCACTGATCTGGGAGTCAGAGGACACAGGTTCAAATCCCACCTTGATCTGACACTTACTGCCTGTGTGACCTGGCAGACTGCTTAATCTCCCTCGGTCTCAATTTCGTGAATAGTAAAATGAGTCGGATAAGACACAAATGACCTTTGATGTTTTTTCCCACTTTAGAACTATGATCCTATAATAGATCAGGTTATTTAATTAAATCATCTTACATGACAGGCAGAATGGAGTAGGGAGAGAACTCGTCTTGGAGATGGTATAACCTAAATACAAGTCTGCCTCTGACACACAATGGCCTTGTGACCCTGGGCAAGTCACTTAACATGCAAATGAACCAGGCAACTCCTGGAAACTACTATAAAGAACAGAACAGTTGCTGATCTGCAATGGAAGAGGTAGTTTCCTCAACAGGAAGCCTTTCTATATCAATGAAATCACAGGCTTGTACCATAATACTAACTTTACTAATTCATAATCCATTAATTCATAAATTATTTTTTAAAAATGATCCAAATATACTATCATATCTAACAAGGTGTGGACAGCTCAAGGAATCTTCCTTTTCTACTATTCACAAGTTTTTCATTTATGTGATCCTCAGGAAAACATCCATGATGAATAAACAAAGATTTCCTATATTTTATTCCAGATTAGCAAGATTTTACTTTCTTTTAATAACAAAAGTTCATAATTTTTTCAATTACTTGTTAGTGAAAACAAGCTTTCTATAATCTAAGGTCTCACTTTCCCCTCTAATTGTTAAATGCATACAATAAAGATTATTAGGACAATATCCTCCAATGTTTTAATAGTCGTATAATATCCTTCCTCATTGTTTATAAAATGTTTTGTGCTCATTTAATTTTTCTCATTAATTCACTAATTTGGTAATTCATATACTTTCTCTTTGTAAACTTTAAAGATTCATTTTTTTAAAAAATCATATTATCAAAGACATTCCCATAATCATAGCTCAAATTGAACTCTGACAATGCAATAACTGAGTATTATCATAGTATCTAGGTTTTATAAGATTTTCTAGTTAGTACTTCCCAATCCAAACCATTCTGTGGATTGGTAAAATATTAAAATTCTCTAGCAGGGACATTCCCATCATAATATAAACTCTCACAAGGGAGCAGAGGTGAGCAGAGCATGAAAAAGAGAAGGATCACCTTTTTTAAGCATACAGGTTTTAAGAATTAAGAACCTTTGATATTAAAAACAGTTTATGAACTCATAAAAATTTGCTGAGAAACAGTACTAGACCACTGACAAGCAATTAAGAAATATCTGATCTAATCCAATTCTATCACATATATGAGAAAACGAGGATATAGAGAGATAAAATAATATCCAAAGTCACTTAAGTCAATATAACAACAAAAAATATTCACATTTATACAAAGAGCTTTAAGATTTACAAAGAGTTTTCCTCACAACACTGTGCAAGTGTTATACCCATTTTATAAATAAGACTTAGAAAAGTTAACTAATTTTTCCCATAGTCACAGAGCAACTATGCCATGAAATGCCACCATGTCATCTTACTGCCTTACAGTCATATTGTCATGGCAAAAAAAAAAAAAAAAAAAAAGAATGAACAAGACAACAATCCTAAACAGGAAAGGTATTGAGCAGCCAATATAATTTCAAAATATAAATGTATACTATGTTGAATAGTACACGTTGAAGCAAACTTTTTTTCCTATGTTCTGAAACATAGGTAAATAGTTACCATTGTTGAAATCTTCCAAGAAACCAGTAAAGAAAAATGTTCATTTTCTAAATAAATGTTCTAAATAGATGTTGAAAAGTACCATCATTAAATAGCTCTTAGTACCATACCTTTTGTTTTTGAATTGGTGACAATCTTAAAGATTGATCAGTGGGATTCAGGCTCATCATATGTGTCTGAAATGAATAAAAATATTTGCTATAAAAAGAATGTGATGCCATAAGTTGCATTGATAAAAATGACATAAAAGTTTAAGTTCAATAAATACAATTAACTCTCTATCAACCACACTAATAAAGGAAAGAGATGGCTTGAATAACTTACTATGTCAATCAGATAAACCCAAGGTCATTTGTTCTTCACTTTGGTACACTATCTTATTTTTTTTGCAACAAACTTACCTTTATAATTATATTTACTTAGATCAATATTAAAACTAATTGATACTGTTCTGAACAGTTGAGGCTGGTAACTTGAGAATTATATGGGGTTTTAAAGAGGCCAGAGATTTCAGATTTTTATTGTTAACACACAAGCAGATAACTGAGAATTTATTAACTTGAGATTTTCATCCTGTTGCTTAAGTGCTTTCACAACTGCCTACGACTCATATATAACTGCTCTAAAAAGTAAAAGAGAAATAAAAGCACTACCAATGAAACTTTAAAAGGTGCTTCTCAGTTCTAGTATTTCATGAATTGGTGCTCTCCCTATCCAGATTTTCTGTGCTTTTATCATATTTCCTCTTAAAATCAAATCGAGTCAAGTCTTAGACTTTCTTTTCCTAGGTTAAAATCAGGGTGGAATGTAAGGAAAAAATTCCTAACAATTAGAGCTGTCCAAACATAGAATGGGCTTCCTTGGGTTCTCTCAAACTAGAATTCTGGAAGTAAAAGCTACAGCAGGATTACATATTTGGATATATTAGAAAATGGATTCAGAATTGAATTAGGTGGACTTTGAGGTCTTATCCAACACAAACATTGTTATTTCTGATGAAGTTTAAGATAATATCAGCTTATTTGGGGTATGCTTATTTATTTTCCAGTTTTTAAACTGCATTCTCTATTTATTAATATTATTTTTTCCTATTTTGTTAATATATGTTTCAGAGGTTTTGAACTAGGGTACATTTAGAGTACTAAAAGTCAAATTACATTTACTGGTGGTCTAAAAACTTTGTGATCCTTAGTGACCTCTGCCTCCTTCCTCACTATTCTGACCACTAGCACTACAAAAATGGATAGGGTCTATAGAAGAATGAGGATCACCTTATATTTTCATTTCTTTAGTTGCTGCAACCCAAAAAGAGTCTTCATCATGTGGCCAGCCTATTGGTGATTTATCTTTCCATACTTAGCTTGATTGGTCCTTAGAAAACAGACTTAAGTCTGTTACTAGGGCCATACTCAAAGACAGCATGGCTAGAAGCAGATCTTACCTTCCATTGTTACATCCTTTAAGAACCCAGATCACTTTTATACCATATGAGGCACTGGAAGGGAAGAAAGTTTGAATTTTTCCTCTGAGAACTACTTTAGTTACATCTCAGAAATTTTGGTATGATGCCTCATCTTTCTCATTTTCTTTCACAGTTAATGTTTCTCTGATTTGTTTTCTTACTCCCTCATAATTCAAGTCGTCATTATTTTCTTGATCAAAGCATGTATATTTTGATTGCATTCCCTCTTTTTATTACTATTTTTATTATGTTTTGCTCTATAAAGGATGTGTGTAGTAAGAGTGGTGTGCAAATTAACTGGAATAAAGGAAAATAATTAAATTTACTCATAGACTATGAAAACCTTAAAGATTTTTACATCTTTAAAAAGTTTTAATGTATGCTTCTTTTGTAAAAATAATCATTTATTCAACATGATTTGACATTGAGTTCACAAGGCTCTGACACATACTCTTGAATTATTTTTTCACAATGGATATTAAGCATATGATGATTAGTCCTTTTTCTAAGACTAGCTTTCATTCTCCATGGGTTTTCAATGGGGTTTAAATTAGATGAGTTCTCAGAGGACTGAAGCATGTTTATCTACATGTCTTGGAAGAATTTCTTTATTTTTTGTGATGTCTGATACGATGTAAGGTAATGTTACAGTGTTCCATTTCCATTTGGGAACTTCTCTAAACTCAGTTTCTGCTTCTCTGCATATTAATATGTTTAACAGAGTTCATCATTCCTGAAATAGGACCAAGACTTTCAGGACCATCAAAAATAAAGACTGTCAAATATTTTTAGTGGTGGGCATTTTGCAGTCTGATCAAGATGCTCAGATCTTACCAGCTCACCTAGACTTCTGACAATGGTTCCAGTACAGCCTTGAATGAAAACGTTTGTTTCATCAGTAAAAATTATACTTCCTAACATTTAAGACTTTGTATTATCTTGCTCATGACAAGTGTTTTTTTCTTCATAGCCAGTAAATAGCTCTTTTTTTGTTTAACTATTTTCCTTGATGGTATTTCAACTTCAAGAAGACCACACCACACTACAGAGGAATCAGTAACAATTCTTTTAGCTGTCAGGTACTTCTGATGGTTTTTTGCTTGTTTTCTAAGGATTTAATTAGGCTATTTTAATGCAATCCTCTGTAAATTCTTGGCACTGTTTCCACTTTTGATTACACTTTCCTTTGTTCTTCAGTGGAACTGTTACTATTTCATCATGAGTTTGAATGATCTTTGAAATGCTTAACTTCTACAACACCAATAGCTGCTGCAATATCTCTAGTCATTGAAGTGTGCTCTTAAAGAGCTATAACTTTTACACATTTCCTTGGAGCAACAGCTATCCTTTAAAAACCCCAGAATTAAAACTTAACAAAAAGGATCAATTAAATGTGTTTATGGAATGAAATCTAGCACTGAATTAATAGAGAATTAAAGGTAAAGAAACCAACTTAATCAGTTTCATTTGGTCAAAGTCAGATATTTTGAGTCATCCTAATGTCAATGTTAGCACATACACATGCAGACTATTACTGTCACAAAATGAAACCATATTAAAATTACTGCTTGCCCCAAGTAATTCATATACTATTATATTTCTGCTTTCTAATGTTATTTAATTATTTCTTTGTACCCTAGCACATAGTCTATTTTTTGAAAGTACCCCATGGTGCTAAGAGGTATGTTTTAATGTTTAATTTAATAATCTTTAATGGTCCCATTCAGGAGGTGCCATTAAGTTTTTCAACTACAGTTTCTACTTATTTCTATAATGTTTTTATTTTTCACTTTTATTTTTTAAATTATCACTTTATCTTTTTATTATTCAGATCTGAGAATGTAAAATTCTTCTATTAATTATTGCATTCTATAATTATCTATGTCTATTTGGAATTCAGTTTATCTTTATGAATTTAGATGCCACATCATTTGGCACATGTTGGTATTGTTTCGTTGTTTGCTATACCTTTAAGCAAATGGTATTTTCCAAGTTGATCAATCTTAAAATTTACTTTGCAAACTTGAAAATTTTTCTTTATTATTGAAATTGTGAAATTTAACCACTATATGATTCAGGATTTCAAGATGACCACCTATGGTTCTAAGTAATCTTTTGCTTTGTGTTGTACTATCTTCAAGAGTTATAAGCAGTTTTCTTTTATCATTTCCTGCCACATTAGGATTTTTTTTTAATTTATATGTTCCTCTGAGAGATCTGTAATCTTTAAGTTATTTCAGCATATTCTATTTTCAAAATCAGTCACTTTGGCTTGTATACAATTCATGCACTGTTCGGAAGTTGTTTCCTTTTGCATCTCTTTTGACAATTTTCTTCTCCTTCTCTATGTGTTGTAGATCTGTTATTTTCTCACAGTGCCTCTAATCCTTTGAAGAGATTCCCCAATGTGACTTCTAAATTATGTAATCTATATACTTATTTCAATTCTGCACTGAGAATTCTGATTTCTGATTTAACTTCATCCTTGATATCTTCTTTAAAAGTTTCATTTCCCTTTGGAACCACTCTGGATTTTTTTTTTTTTTTTGGCCGCTGTTAATGGCCTCAGACTAGTTTGAAGAATTCCCTTTATGACTAAGGAATTTTGGTTCACTTTTTTTTCACAGTGTATCTGGTCATAATAGTATGGGCTCTTTGAGCAATTTTATTCATTTGTACTGTGTCTTTGAGTAGGCTGGTGGAGCAGTGGACAGAGTGCCAGAGCTAAAGTCAGGAAGACACATCTTCCTGAGTGCAAATCTGACCTCTGACACCTAATACCTGCATGACCCCAGGAAAGTCACCATTCTGTTTGCCTCAGGTTCCTTATCTATAAAATGAACTGAACAACGAAATGGCAAACCACTCCAGTATCTTTAATAAGAAAACCATAAATGGGGTCACAAGAAGTCAGACATGACTGAAACAAACAAAAAACAACAAAACTGTGTCTTTACTAAACCTCTCTTTATCTGAATGGGAGCTTGGTTTACCTCAGCTTTCTCCCTTGAAATTTGGTTTTTAGCCTTTCTCTTGTGTTTCTAGTTACTCATCTCTTTTTCTTCTTCACTCTTCCCCAACCTAGATGACTTCTGCCTTCTCAAACTGGGGAGTGCAGGGGCCCAACCAGTATCCTCTTCCCAGAGCAAAGTCAGAGGGTGAAACCCCAGTCAGGTTTCCTGTCCCTTTTCTCTCAAATAGGGAAATTCTTTCCCTTCTGGCCAGCTCTGCCCTGCCCTGTGTGCTTCATTTTGCACTTGCCCTGATCTTCTACTCTTGGGGAAGACACTCCAGTCGTTCTCTTTTTCCTTCAGATAGTCAAACAGAATCAGTGTCTACCACTTCTTGTGGACCAAGAAGGTTTCCAACTATTCGAATTAATGATCTGGAGAGATCTGATAAAGATCTCCACATTGGGAGCATAAGCTTCTAAGACTGCTTTTAAGTTATTCCTTGAGCAATATTATTTACCTTTCTCCTAACGCTGGATACCTTGAGCATGGCAGTGATGCACATTTTCATTTTGTACTAAAATTATAATGTTCATTCTATTTTAAGGGTGGGAATTCCACCACTACCTTAACTGACAAAATAATAGAATGCTCCATACACCTTAACTGACTCAATCAATCAACAGAGTAAACTATGTATTAAGGAATTTTCCTACAACCTCAGTACAATGTGTGAATAAGCTTTTAATCAATTTGAAAGGATTATAGGGTTTTTGCTGTTGGATTAAACTAGACAATGCCACACAAGGAACATCTTGTGACAAGATAGAAGTATCAGACATACTTCTATGTATAAAAACACAAACCAGTCAGGAGTTGACCAGTCAATGGTAGATAGAGTACTTCAACTTCAAGAGTTGGAGTTGAAGATTCCATAGTTAGAACCAGGTTTCTGAGAAAGAAACTCCTGGAGGAAGGACAGAAAGCTAGTCTCTGTCTCTGTCTCTCAAGTGATCACAAATTTAGCCAGAAGCAGAGTAATACACTGAAGACACACTGATATGGAAAGGCAGACACCTGAAGAAGGTAGCTTCAAGGAGTATAAACCTTAAACCAAAGAAGAATGCCAACTATGAACTCACAAACAGGACTTTAAGCCTAAGGCACTAGAGTATTCCACATTTGTGGCCCAACCACCATTCTACACTAAAATTTGAGCCCACTCTTTCTGTAGATCTATATGTTGGTGGGAGAGTCTAATAGCTGATTATTAATTGGAAGCACACCAGTGGGATCAAATCAGTGAAAGTTTTAGAAATGCAGCCCCTCAGTCAGAACTTACAACGCTCAGAGTAGCACTTGCCCCCAACCTTTGAATTTGCATACAAGTTGGTGGAGTGGTCTTAGTGGTAGAGCTACACTTTTTTATTTTGTCTACAGTAAAGACAATGCTTAATGGATATCATTCAGTTCTCAGAATCAAATAATTTCCTAATTAAGTTGATTAAAAGTAGAAGTTCTAATCTTTATCTTATAAACGAGGCCAGGAATTCAAATTATTTATGTGACTCCATTTCTTGCTAATCATTATTTTTTTTCAACTTTAAGGGACTCTGAGGATTGATAAAAAAGCAAGGAGCATAAAAACAATTCCTCATTTTTGAGTCCAGGAGATTATACTTCTTGTCAACAGTTTACAATTTAATAACACTATTCATGGGAAAGGACATATGGTGTTGTGGCTTGAGAAACAGTCTCGGGGTCAGAAAGACCTGACTGTCAAGTCCTGCCTCTGACACACATTCTGAGCAAGTCATCCCAGCCCTCAGTGTTCTAGGTAGCTCTCTCAGACAATAAGTTTCAGAGATAATATGTTGATATTCTGATATGCTGATGTTCATAATGGCTGATATTTATATATCACTTTAAATTTTGCAACGCATTTTACATATTATCTCTGCTTTGGTAGAAGGACTTTGCTCTCCTTCCTATATCAATGAAATCACAGGCTCATTCCAAAAATTCCCCAGGACAATAGACAAAGCCTTTCAACTGATACCCAAAGTTCATCAAATCCAATGCTCTCATCTGGCAGGTGAAATTGAGGTTCAGAATTCAGAAAAAATTCTTTTGACTTTGTTGAAGGACATAAATGGAAATTAATTCAATATAAACAAACAATTTTGAGTTTCTGAACCCAATTCTGTATTCAGCAGAACACCAATATATATATCCTCAAGGGTATGCTGATGTTGATAATGGCTGGTATTTATATATCACTTTAAGGTTTGCAAAGCATTTTATATATTATCTCACTTGAGCTTCACAACAATCCTGTGAATGATCAGTTAACAGCAGTACTATTATTAGTCCCATTTTACAGAAAAGGAAACTCAGGTTAAGAGCATCTTGCAAATGATCATATATTAATGTCTGAGGCAGGATTTAAATTAAAATTTTCCTGAATTCAAGTCCTGTACTCTGTCTGCTCTACCACCTATGCTAATCAATAAAGACCATCAACTTCTCATCAGACATACAACAAAAAAATCTAGAAAAGCTATAAGTATAGTAAGTGATCAATAAATACTAGTTGAAATTAAATTGAATTTCATATGTACCTCAATGCTTATTATGCCCAAATATAATTATTACCATATTCAGAACATCAATAGTGTCTCCAAGACTTCTCTGTTCGTTTTCAGGTTCTGACTCTTCTGCTGAAGAACTACTTTTTTCTTTCTCTTGAACTGGGTCATCTTAAAAATAAAATAAAACGATTGAAAATGAAATCTGCAACGTATAAATGAAAACATGCATCTTTAATTGGATTTATTTTTCAGACTGTGAGCTAGACTTTTTTAAAGGAACTTTATTTCAAAGGAACTTTACTACAGATGATAAACAAATTGAACATAACCCACTCAAAAATAAATTTTTTCAAGTCTATTTTCAATTTAACTGGACACATTTATTAAATGTTTTACTATGCATAACTGCTACAGATATAAAAATAAAAAGTGAAAAAGTTTCTGAACTCTGAGTATAATGAGCAACGGCATGAGACTTGGAATCAGGAAGACCTGAATTTGAATCTTTACCTGCATCCTTACTAATTTGGTGACCCTGAGCAAATATTTACCTTCCCTTAGTCTCTGTTGCTTTAGTACAAATTGAGGATAATAATATTTATAAGATGTACCTCACAGGGTTGTTGCCAAAACATCCAGTTAAGAAGGGTCATTACAAGGGCATCTAAAGATGAAAATGGAAGAAAAACCAGAAAAAATAGAAAACAATCTTTAAAAAGATTTAGAACAAACTGCTTTCACAATCAAGGACCACCACATACTGATTCTAATTGTCACGTTCCCCAGTGCCCTTATTAAGATGTTAGAAATAGAATGAAAGAGAATAGAGGCAAGAAAAACAATCAGACTAGATCAAGTATACATGACATGATTGGTGCTGGAAAATGACACAGTCTTAAGATTTTTGAAGGATCATTTCACAAGGCAATAAAGGAGGGGAAGGTATTAAACATTTTAAAAAAAATTTAAATCTTCCTAATGCCAAAAAAAAGAAAGTAATAGAGAACGTCAGTAACTACCAATCTGTATGTGTATTTTACTGCCTATACAAAATCTTTTATACACAAATCAAGGGCATCTTCAATGAGGGCATCAATAGGGAATATGCAGTTTTTTGTAAGCAATATGTTTTAAGTTGACTATATCTTTACTATCTTACAACTGACTGAAAAATATAGAGGACAAAACATTCTACTGGGCTCACTGTTTGTTGATTATGAAAAAGCATTTCATTCAATAGATCCCAATGCTGTCTTAAAGGATCTCTTCTGGAAAATTTTAAGTGCTGGAGAAGATGTGGGAAAATTGGAACACTAATACATTGTTGGTGGAGTTATGAACTGATCCAACCATTCTGGAGAGCAATTTGGAACTATGCCCAAAGGGCTATAAAACTGTGCATACTCTTTGACCCAGCAATATCACTTCTAGGGCTGTATCCCAAAGAAAGCAGAAAAATGGGAAAAAGACCCATGTGTACAAAAATATTTATAGCAGCTCTTTGTATGGTGGCAAAGAATTGGAAATTGAGGGGATGCCCATCAATTGGGGAATGGCTGAACAAGTTGTGGTATATGAATATAATGGAACACTATTGTGCTATAAGAAATGAGGAGCAAGCGGACTTTGGAAAAACCTGGAAAGACTTATATGAACTGATGTTGAGTGAAGTGAGCAGAACCAGGAAAACACTGTACACAGTAACAGCTACATTGTGCGATGACTAACTTTGGTAGACTTAGCTCTTCTCAGCAATGCAAGGATCTAAGACAATTCCAAAAGACTCATGATGGAAAATGCCATCCACATCCAAAGAAAGAACCATGTAGTCTGAAAACATCACAGCATATTACTTGCTCTCTTTTTTTTGTTTTGTTTCTTCTTTTTCATGGTTCCTCCCATTCATTCTAATTCTTCTTTACAACATGACTAATGTGAAAATATGTTTAATAAGAATGTGTATGTAGAGCCTGTATCAGATTGCATGCCGTCTTGAAGAGGGGGGAGGGGAAGGAGGCAGAAAAATTTAAAACTCAAAAGCTTATGGAAGTGAATGTTGAAAACTAAAAATAAATTAATTTAAATTTTTTTTAAAAAAAGGATCTCTTCCAACAAAGTTTCTCTCATTCATTCATCAAAATCATTCAAGATCCTTTGAAAGATATTGACAACCAAAATAACCCTGTATGATGACTCTCTGATCATAAGAATGAAGCAAGCATAAAATAGGGAGATTGCATGCTTGCCAAAGGATTTCAGCACTATGATGGAGGAGATCCAGTGCAGTATCCACGTTTAAGAGGGATTCTCTACAGATACTCAGATACACCATATGCTCTCGTCAGTGGATGACATTGTATTTGTATCAAGCTCCAGGATACTGCAGAGTCTCTAAAGAGTTTGGCTCCACAATCCACACAGGAAAGAACAAATAGATAAAGACTATTGCCTAGATTATGACATAGAGATGAATGGACCTGGCACATACATCTGGCTTGGAGAATATAAATGTACAATGAGTTAGACCCAGAATAAGTTGGGAGAGAGTGGGCTGGATTGACTTAAAGAAATTACAAAGCTATTTTTATGACTCCATACTTCTCTAAGAAAAAGTCTTATCTTTTTCACACCAATATTCTACCAACAATGCTGTATGGCAGTAAGGTATGGAATGTTACCAACTCTGAAGAACTGAAAGACAAAAATACAAAAGGAGATGGAGAAACACATGGTGGGAGTGAGTAAGTTGCAAAACATAATGAAGGATTCACTGAAAAACAGGAAGAAAAAGTGTCATTAAAAATGTATGGTAGGAAGAGAAGAGGTGGGGGTAAGGGATAACAGGTAAAGGTACCCTTGAAATGGAGGAGGAATGCTTTCAGCTGATTTAATGAACTTAGGGGAAGACATGGATAAGAGTCACAATGAATGGTCAGGCATGAATGAACTATGATCCATACTGTTAGAGGGGATCATCCAAATTGACTAGATCAGAGTTCTGAGTGAGAATAACGGAGTGGATAACACATATACATAAATACTATCATACAAATGCATACATAGGAGAGAAGTCATGGCAGCAAGCAAAATTTGAGGATAGAGGGTATCCCTTTATTTAGCAGGGTCAGGGGAGGTTTCATGGGAAAAGGTAGCATCTGAGATGGCCTCTGAAGAAAAGGAAGAATTTCAAAAGAGAGAAATGTAAGGAGAATTGATATCAGGTTTGGGGGACACTGGTCACAAATGCACTGAGGTAGGATAAGGCAGGGAGAGATTAGGGAATAGCAAGGATCCCAGTTTCACTAGAACACAATATGTGAATGAGAGAATTATAACATAAGGCTGAAGGGAAGAATACAGCTAGATGGTGAAGGACTTTAAATTTTAGGATGAGTTTACATCTTATTTGGTAGGCAATCAAAGTCACTGAAAGTTTTTGAATGGAGAGTCACTGAAAGTTTTTGAATAGAGAGTTATTACAAAGGTAGAATGGATACGACTTGGCAGATGCCTGAAAGTGGAGGGCAGCCAGAAAGGAAGAATTTGAGGGTTTGAGCCTATGTAACTGGGAAGATGGAAGCAATGTCAGTAGACAAAGGGAATGCAGAAGGACCAAATTTGCAGGGAAAGATGAGTCTAGTTTGGGACAATGAAACAATGACAAAGTAGATCCACTCACTACAGCAGTTTGAATGTAGGCCCTTCTTTGTGTGTTCCCATTTTAAAATGAAGAGACTTGATTAGTTTCTCCTACCTTCTTTAATTCCTACATGAGATGACAAAAGCTTATCCAAAGAATGATTGTGTGTTAACTGACTATCAGCGCTAGAAAACACACACAAGACTTAAAGGTCCAAATAAGATTTATTAAACAATATTCTATATAGACAACCAAAGCATCAGGAGGGCTAGAAATGGGTTAAGAGTACTGTCTTCCTCCAAAAATGAATGCAAATTAGGATGGTGGCATGGTAGCCCCAAAGGTGGCTCCCTAGCTTTTCTGTTTTGTATAGGCAAGGTCCCATTTCTCATGTAAGCTAAAAATGCTCCCTCCTTTTTTTCGTGTGTGGGAATTAGGGGTAGGAGTGGGAGAGATTCCCAAGATAGTGATTGGTGATATCTGCTATGTTACCCTTCCAGATTTATACTTCAGGATCTTGGCGTGCTGTAATTGGTTGAGAAAGATGAGAAGCAAAGGATTAGAATGCTTCTTCCCTACCCCCAATCACTGCCCTAACCTCCCTGAAGTCTACAAAGAAAATGGCTGTAGAGGATCATCTTACCTATGATCCCAGGAGTTACTGGCCTATTTGGGCAAGTAAGCACTTATTTATGAAGTTTTAATTAGGGAGACAGAGACTTTCTAAATAAGTCTTAGGAGTGAAAACAAATTGAAATAAGAAATTAAAACTATATATTTGCACAGAATAGTAAATAATTAATAGAGACATGAGTCTTTCTATAGAGATGCCTCTTAATTTCTTATTACCAGTAGGATGGATTTGGGTTGTTCTCTCAAGAGAAGACTGAAGACCCTACGATGAAGGTGTTTTGGACATTTCCTTTTAGGTTCTACACATGAATGTTAACACAAATTCTTTAGGGGAAGATGGAAAAAAACTTGTAATACATATAAAGCCTCAATTATTTATATAGGTATGTATAAATATCTGTTCTCATGCAAGCAATACCAATTCATTTGCACATCTGAAAGGAAAGGGAACAGTTACAATTAAAATATTATAAGATATATATCTTTATGTACATTGTAAGGAGGATCATAATAATCATAAACCAGACACTATGAAATAAATCTTATCAATCATGATTTAACAGATCCTACAACAAATCCTCCAACAGATTCTACAATTTTTAGGTTTTGTTGCAAGACATGAACAATATCCAGTGGGCAGTTGGAAATACATGGCTGGGTCTCAGGGGAAAGGGCAGATATAGGGAAATATCTTGGGGGTTATCTACATAGAGTTTTTAAAGATTATCAAGGAAATAGTGAATGACAGGAGGGTGGCCAAAACAACTAAAGCAGTTTGTGCAGAAAGAGATCAGATAGGCAAGGGAAGAGTGGCAGGGGATCTAAATTTAGGAGAAAGCCCTCGTGGTTAGAAGAAAGAGGAGGAATTACAGAATAAAAAGGTGAAGTTGTTAAA